ATATCGATTCGTTTCTTACTTGAAGTAAATTACTATTCGGTGTCATTTGTGCTTTTCGTCGATGTCCACTTGGACATAAAATCATAATCGTAGCTTTCGCCATATGTTTATATATATATATGTAATCTAAAATAACATATTCATATATCTTCATAGTTAACATATCAAAAATAAAGAAAATTTTCTAAATCAAATCGAAAGTATTTGTAAATGATAATCATCATTTGTAACAAGTGCTAATTCATTATCTCCCATTGAACTTATAATTTTAACATATATTTGATCAAGTGTTTGAATTGTTTGATTATGTATATGAAAATATTTTAATAATTGAGTTTGTTTATCAATAATTAACCATATTTGATATGTTGATAAAAATGTAAAATTTGAATATAAATGTTCTTGATTTGTTAAATCAATTAAATATTGTATAATAAAATCTTCTGAACATAATTGTATTGATTTATTTGTATATATTAATAAATAATCTATATTTGAAGTAATTGATAATATATTATCATTATTATGTGTTCTTAACCAACGTTTATCTAATTTCCATTGTGGTTGTATTAACCATCGATCAATAAATTCACCTTGATCATAAATAAAAAAAACATAATTATGAAAACATGTTAAATTATTTAAAAAATGTTTTTTATTTGAAATATGTGCAAGTTTTTTTAATAATAAATTATCTAATGACCATAATGAATAATCACAAAGAAAAAGAAAATTTTTATATGTTATTGACCAACATATATCATTTAAATATTCATTTGTATAATCTAACATATTTATTTCATCAATAAATCCAATTAATTTATCATATAAAAAAATTTTTAATTCATAATTAACAATTATTATTTGATTATTTGATGTTGATATTAAATAAATTGTTTGTGTAGGAATTTTATATTCAGCATTTATTTTTCTTTGATTATATAATTGTTTATCAAATATTTGATATATTCTTATTGTTTTATTTAATAAACATGTATCTATATCAATATGTAATGGTAATGGTCGATGTATAATATTTTTTTTAAGTTGATTTAATTTATTTTTAAATAAATTTATTTCATATGATAATATATATGAATGTTGAAAATATTCATTCATATTTAAAATAAAATTTTTTTTTTCATAAAAAAAATTTTTTTCTGCTTGTTCTTTATATATTTGTATTTCAGTTGATTTTTCTTGATGAATATTTATTATATGTTCTATCATTGTTGTTTTCCATTTATCTATTATAGAAAAACATTGTTCCCATTGAAAATCAAAAGCTAAATGACTAAAATCCATCTAGAAGAAATAATCAATGGAAAATAGTTTTTTTTT